TGTGTCTATTTGTAAATCTTGATGTGAAATTAGCAAATAACCTGAGCCTCAGTTTGACAAAGTGTAACAGTACCTTACCCTCTGCCCTCCAGTGGTTAGAAGTGGGGACTATTACTTGTTTGAAACTGACAGTGAGGAAGAGGAGGAGGAGGAGGACAAAAAAGAAGAGGAGCCGCCACGGAAGTCGGCATTTCAGGTGACTTCCTGGACCGAGGGTTCACTTCCTGCTCCATTTGTCTGAACTGAAGTCTTTTAGCAGGCAATGCTGGGGTTAAACAACGACATTCTCTTCTTCCTTCTTTCTAATTTTTGGTCACACTATTTTGTCTGGGTTACGTCATATAGTTGGTCTGTGATTCCTTATTTCATTCATACCGGAAGAAAAGTGTTCTTGAAAAGTGGACCCGACCCCTATGTTGAAAAACATGTACAGAACAACAGCAGTAGAATTAGTTTTAATGTATAGGTGGGCAGATGGTAATAGTGTGTGTGTATATATGTATATTTATAGGAAATATATTGTCATAACTTTTAAAAACATTACTGTCACCTTTAACACCAACAAACCTGTGCTGCATGTTTTCCAGTTAATCACTCACTGTGCTCTGATGTCCCTCACTGTTTCACTCTAACAGCACTAACCCTCTCTCCTCTGTTGCCTCTCTGTAGCGAGCTATTGGGAAGTTTGTGTCTGCGGTGTTGGCTTTGCCCAGGTCTATCATAAAACTGCCTAAAACTATTCTACAGTATGTAATGAAGGCCGGCAAGGTACTCACCACCACCAGCACTAACACAGTCTGCTCTATGTGTTGTCTGTCGGCTAAACGGCTAAGCTAAACGTTAGTTCTCGTTTGCTGTAGTACTTCATAAAGCGTTGTTTACTGTTACTCTGTGTTTTATGTACTACAGTAGCCACAAGAATAAAAAAGGAGTATTGTTTTGTGAATTATTTAATTTTTTAAAATATCATTAACGCTGTAAGTATATTAATAACCAAATTAACTGAATCAGAACTAATTCAAATACATTATATATTATACAGTATTATTATTCATTTAGTATTTAGTAGTGAGGGACAAATCTACTGAAGGCCAGAGGAAATGTTATCGACTTGTCTTGCATTTAGCCCTGAATCAAATCATTTTTTGTTGAGTCTAATGTCCTGTATTAAACCTGAAAACGTACAAAACCATGTTTGTGATGACATGGGTTTTGCCTGATAAAGCTCACCTCCTGTCTTTGGTTCTAACCTGTAGCCTCTTCTACTCAGTTTCTTTACCATGCCTGGATCACGGACCCCAAAGCTGCGCTGAAAGCACGAGGCAAAGAGAAACGCAAATTCTGGAGGAGATACACGAGAGGAGTGAGACAGAGGAAAAATAAGAAAGAAGGTAAGATGGTTCAGCGGTGTTGAATAAACACGTGTTGTTACGACTGTGGTCAAAACATCATCCTGCTCCGTCTCAGCAGGTCATGTGACCATAGAGTTGGGGGAGTTGTCTGATGGACAAGAGAAGGGAGACGACGACAAGGATGAGAGTGGTCCAGGTTAGTAGGATCGTGGGAAATCTCCTACAGCAGACTGGAAAACATAAATTATTCTACAGAAAAATGGAAATGTTTTTTAATCCCCTTAATAAGAAGAGTTTTTTTCTAAGTGTATCATCGGCATGAAAAAAATATCCCTGGGTAATATTTTTTCTTTTCCTCAGACAACATCATCAAACGAGTGTTTAACATCATCAAGTTCACCTGGGTGCTGTTCCAGACGACAGTCGACAGTTTCACCAAGTGGATGAATGAGATGTGCCGGGAGTACGTGGACATCTCTACAGTGCTGCGTATCGAGCGCTGCATGTTGACGAGGGAGGTCAAAAAGGTACATGTTCTGTTATATTATTATGTTGATCTACAGCAGGACTTTTATTCCGTCCAGTTTGATTTCCCTGCTCAGTGTCAGCATCAGCCTCCATCACATTTCCTTTTCGCCAGGGTAACGTGCCGTCCAGGGAGAGTATCCATGTTTACTACCAGAAGGCCATGAGGCTCAACATGTCCAGACAGGCCAGCATGGATCAGCTGAGTGAGGACGAATCCTACTGTGGTTCTAGCAGAGTCCGGAGAAGACGAGCCGGCTTCCGTATGGAGAGCCAGGACTCCACCGCATCCAGAGACAGCATGTCCAGGTACATCCGTTTCTGAGGGCCCGTATTTTTAGAGACGCTATCCCAAAATAAGTACTCCACTATTAGATATTTCCTTTTGTTGGTCAAAAATGTAAATCTGTACTGTTTAACATCTAGAGACTGTACACTGCAGAGGTTAGTGTTGGAAATGAGCAGTAATTTAGGTGGTGGATACAAACAGTGGTTGTGGTTCTCAGCACTTCACACTCTTCATCTGTCTTCTTTGTGTCTTTAATATTCTTAAATATATTCTGTTAATTCTCCGAGCTTTTCAATCCTCACAGAAGTTAAACGGACTTGTTACTGATTCACAGAGATCATAGAAACATTGCAAATTTGATTGATTAAGAACAATCTTTCATTGAATTAAATCAGCTCCAATCAGGATTCACACCAGGAAATGTTTCACTCAAAAATCAGTAACAAGTTCCTCAGGTTTTAAATTCAGTGTCATCACTGATTTCAGATGTTGACAGTCATATTTGGATTCATCCTCCTGTGACCTGCAGGTGTCATGTGACATGACACCTGCAGTTCCCCTCCCTTCTTAGCTGACATGTAAATGTGTGTTTGACCAGGGACTGTCTCTGTCTGTGTAACATGGCATTGATCCTAACATTGATCTCATCCTTCTCACCACTGATCATTCCACCTGTCACTGTCACTACTCTCAGTGCTGTCACTGAGGCCACCACACTGTTTTCTCGCCAGTCCACACTGGAAGACCTCGACGGAATGTCAGAGAACATTCCCAAAACCAGTGAGCGTGCCAGGCCTAAGCTGCGTAAGATGTACAGCCTAGACATGTCCAATTCCTCTGCGGAGAGTGGCAGCAGCGTCATTTCCAGGTGCCCTGCCACTGCATCACCCATACACGTGCATGTCTCCTCAAGCGCCATTGACGCCATTGCATCTTTTTATTTCTATTTTTTACTTAACCTCAGCTAAACCATCTCAAACTATTACCTCCCCCTCCTCACCCCTACATGCTTCATAAATTCCACTCCATGGACCGTGTCGTCTGGTATAATTGGAAAACACTTTTACATCAGTCTTACATAATAACACTGTTGTTAAAGGAGTTTTTATAATCCAACACGACTCCAGTGGTTTCACAAAAGGTCACTTTTCTTGTTTCAGTGTTCAGTCAGCCAGAAGACGTGTTTTAATAATGTGGTCAGTACAGAGGGTGGTGTCTGATAAGGTCAGGCTGCAGACCTCTGCACTGGAACCTTAGACCTTATTCTAAATGAACCTTAGAATTCATTAAACTGAACCTTAGACCTTATTCTAAATGAACCTCAGAATTCTAACTGTCTCAAATGAACATGTTGTTAGCACCTGTTTTTCAGAAGCAGGTAAATCCATGTTTAATTCAAGTTCAGTTTTATTGAATTAAATCCTCCTTGGACATAAAAAACTTTTTTCAATGTAATTATTTTTTATCATTATGCAGGTACAACAAAATCCCAAGTGCAATCTTTAAAGTGTGTGGGTATAATAAATGACCACGGTCTAATGCCAAGAGTAACCGTTTGCTTTAAAGGTTAAAAAGTAAAACATCTCCGTCTCTTCTTGTTTCCCGTGCAGTGAAGCGACCCAGTGCATCACTCTCTACTCCAGACAAGGCACCACAGAAACCATAGAAGAGGTGGAGGACGAGCAGGATCAGGTTGAGGACAAGCATCGGGTTCTGTGGGAATCCCAAGAGCTGGAAGACAGCGAGGAGCCTGAGGCCAGTCTGTGGAGTGAATCTAGGAAGACTGGGGAGGAGGAGGAGGAGGAGGAGGAGGAACAGGAGGAGGTGGAAGAGGAGGCAGAAGTGAAGGGTGGTGATAGGGAGATGGAAGACGTTGTGGAGGAATTTGAGATACCAAGGAGCCCAGAGAGGGAAGAGGATCCCTGGGAGTCGTCTGGCCCAGACGAGGGCACATCCCAGAGGCAGGAGGAGACAGAGTATGTCCCCTCGGAGCAGGACAAAGACTTGATAATCAGTGACAGTGAGGATGGAGCCGTTGGAGGACAGCGGGACTTCATGCAGACAGAGGGGCGGGCGGGGCTGCTCTACACCCCTGACACTGATGCTTCCAAAACATCTGACGCTGAAGTGCCTCCCAGCTACAGCAAGGCGGTGAGTTTTGACCGTCTGGAGGTAAGCGATGACGAAAGCGACAATGACCGGAAGAGAAGGATGATCATGACCTCAGACAGCCACTCAGACAGCAGGTCGGACATCGTGCTGCCCTCCATGACCACTGAGCTGACCGCAAGTGACCTTCTGCTCAACAAGTAAGTCCTTCAACGGACAGAAAACTAATAGTCTGAGTGGATCATACAGAAAAGACGTGTTATTCTAGAATTTTAGTGTGGGGAAAAAAACAAAGTACATACAGTACAAAGTGCAACTTAAGGCAAAGTATAGATTTATTTATTTAAAGTATATTATAATATATTGCACAGATTGACCACATTAAGATGACATTGATACATGGGCCAGAGCAGTGCAGTGGTAGGATTGAAGAAAGTTCTAGGCTCAATTCCACCTACAACTAAATCCCAGGTTGGAATAAGTCAGGAAAGGAATCTGGTTTTAAAACGCTGTCAAAAAAATGTCATCTTGAACATTTTACTTTCTTTTCTTTTCTTTTCTTTGGAACAAGCAAAGCAATAGTTCTGGGAGAAACCGTGGAAATAGAACAGAATAGTCTTTATTGTCATTGTACCACAGCGGGGGATCAACATGAAGTTTGATATTTTGTTTATGATTGCAAAAAAAAACCCATTTCATAAATCAAACTTTACGATCCCTTGTGTTTGTGTCCGTTCAGAATGTTCTACGATGAGGAGCTGGAGCAGTCAGATAAGTTCTACCTTGGCCAGCCTCTGATCCTGCAGCTGTGCTACGCCCTCTACAACATGCTGGTGGCCCACTCAGAGATGGTGTGCTACCTGGTCATCATCATCAACCACATGGTGTCCGCATCTTGTGCCACACTGGTTCTTCCCATCACCATCTTCCTGTGGGCCATGCTGTCTGTGCCGCGGCCCAGTAAGAGATACTGGATGACAGCCATCGTCTACACCGAGGTACAGTCACACTTAGATGTTGAACAGTTTCTCTTCTATACACATGGCCAGAGTGAAATAAAAGCTCTAATATAAACAACATAGTATTAAATTAAATGAAGAAATTAAAATTTTAATTTTACCACTGTCCTAACTTTAATTCTTGTCTTTCTTCCAGGTCACCATTGTGGTCAAGTACTTCTTCCAGTTTGGCTTCTTTCCTTTCAACCAAAGCAAAATTGACAAGAGCAAACCGTACCATCCTCCCAACATCATTGGTGTGGAGAAGAAGGACGGATACGTCCACTACGATTTGGTCCAGTTACTGGCTCTGTTCTTCCACAGATCCATTCTGAAGGTACAGATTTATTATTCAGTGTGTAGTGTAACTCACTCAGTCGTTCATGTGTTGAATGTATTACAGCATCTTTGGTTTATTCACAGTACTTCAAATTCCAAATGTTGTCTTTTGCCTCCTCCCTTCTCCATGTCCACACCTTCAGTGCCACGGTCTCTGGGATGAAGACGACCCCAAAGAGAAGAAAGAACCTGTGCATCACAGTGAGTCAGAAGACGAGGAAAACGACCAGGAGGAGAGTGGGAGGGAGTCAGAACCCGCCTCCTCGCTCCTCAGTGAGAGGAGAGGCTCCAATCAAACCCTGAGGTCCAACAACTTTGGCACCTCCATAGATTCAGGACAAATTCTGGTCCATCAGCCTCAACAGCAGACATACCAGCGTCGGAGGAGCTCTAGCGGTGCCTCGCACATCTCCTCCCACAAATCACTTCACTCCTCAGCAAGATCAAAAAGAGGTAACGATGCTGATAATTCTTTTCCCTGGTTTTCTATAATTTAATTTGTTAAGAGTTCAGTTGAAGAACTCACACCTCCAATAATTTGATCTAAAGGATTTCACTTGATCACAAATGTAACAGTAAAAATTCTGGTACAACAATAACTTCCTCTGAATTTTCTCTGTTGACACCCAGAATCTCTGTGCACATTCTTTGTGGTGGATCATTTACTCCCTCCCCCCCCCCACAGGAAGTACCGGCTCACACAACAGCAGCCGCAGAGATGGCAGTGAAGCCAGTGTCCACCTGAAGACCCGCAAACAGATGATCATGGTGAAGCTGAGGGAGCAGCTGTACAAAGGAAAAGCACTTGTCATTAAAATGTACGCTGGCGGTTCAGAGAAGTTCAACCAGAGAAGTATTTTTGGGGTTTTGTTTTCCTTTTTCTGTTTTTGTTTTGTTTCGCCCTTGTCCAGCAGCTGTTTACTGGTCAGCACTTTCAAATCTGTTGTGGCACAAGGCCGTCCGCGGGTGCTGATGAGAAGTGTTGCAGATCCATAATGGAAGATGCTCTGTGGAAAATCACATCAGTGTTGCACCAGTTGAAACCTTTCTAAGCTCTAAATTTAGCCCTTTAATTACAGTGTTCCCGTCAGGCCAGTGAGTGTGGTCTTTGTAAGTGCTGCAACAGACCATCAGAACAGGTTATTGTTCTAAATTTAATCACCATGGAACAAGTGCAGATACTACACCTAATACATCAGTCAAACACACTCGGGTGAAAAACTTCAAACCTTTTCCAGGACCTGTTTTTTTATGGATTCCTTCACAGAACGATTCATGAAACGTCAAGAGAAACTTACATGAATGAATACATTATCTTACGCCTCCTAGGAATCTTTCCAAGGGCGGGAAACATTTTGATTATATATAAATAAAATGAATAATGTATTGATAATAATTGAACACCACCGTCTGATTTGTACGACTGTAGCCTGAATATCATCGTTGCACTGGCAGAGTGAGGTATGCTAAAAATGTGATATGACACATTGTCTTAATTATGAGGAAAATAAAAGTTCATGGAATATTCCGCCCCTACAGATTCATGGAGATCTACATTCCCATCAGGCAGTTCTTCTACAACCTCATCCATCCAGAGTACAGTGCTGTCACAGACGTGTACGTTCTGATGTTCCTGGCCGACACCGTCGACTTCATCATCATTGTGTTTGGATTCTGGGCCTTTGGTGTGAGTCCAGCTTGACTTGACTGAATGTTCATCATCCCAAATGGTTTGAACACACATCTGTAAAAACACCTGATGTGTGTGTTTCAGAAACACTCAGCAGCAGACATCACCTCCTCTCTGTCAGAGGATCAGGTGCCTGGACCGTTCTTGGTCATGGTTCTCATCCAGTTTGGGACCATGGTGGTGGACCGGGCCCTCTACCTCAGGAAGTCTGTCATGGGGAAGGTCATTTTCCAGGTCATCCTGGTCTTTGGAATCCACTTCTGGATGTTCTTCATTCTGCCAGGAGTCACACAGAAGTAAGAACTGACTTGGTACAAAATCAGATTTTCACTCAATCTGGAACAGGTTTATTATTAGAATAGATTAAAATATTTTTAATAAGTGTACTTTCTCATCTTTTATTTCTTTAAGACAAATATTTTTGGCCAAAGTCATAAATAGTGACTTTTTCCCTGTTTAATTAAAATAATTAAACTTATCTGAAATGTTAAATGTTTTGTTCATAATCCATTGTTTTCTAATCAGTAAACACACATTATACATGATCTTATATAACATTAATAATATGTAATATAATAATAACATGATCTTATATAACATTAATAATATTTTTTTCTTATCTGTGTTTGGTTTGTGTGTAAAGTTCTTAATTTACCGTCAGAAACCAACCTTGTCATTTGTCCACTGTGTGTGTTTTTCACAGGCGTTTCATCGAGAACAGAGTGGCTCAGATGTGGTATTTTGTGAAGTGCATCTACTTCGGACTGTCGGCCTATCAGATCCGCTGTGGTTATCCCACCCGTGTTCTGGGGAACTTCCTCACCAAGAGCTACAATTATGTCAACCTCTTCCTGTTCCAGGGGTGAGTTACGCAGGAAAAGCATCATCTGTTCCAGATGAGAAAACAGGTCCAAGGTTCAGGTCACGACAGTTCAGTAGCGGCTGCGGCCAAAAGGTTGAACCTGAGGAAACAGAAATTCACATTTACAACACTCAGTGTGCGTAATAAATATTCATTTGTTATTTTTGAATTCTCTGGAACACCTTAATCCTGTGTTCCACATTTTATTTTGTGTTGATATTTTTTTTTGTATTTGTGTTAATATGAGCAGGACTTGGTAACTGTTCCTGTCATAACTCAAACTGCTCTGTTGTTCTCAGTTTCCGTCTGGTGCCGTTCTTGACAGAACTGCGTGCCGTGATGGACTGGGTTTGGACGGACACTTCGCTGTCTCTGTCCAGCTGGATCTGTGTGGAGGACATCTACGCTCACATCTTCATCCTGAAATGCTGGAGGGAGTCTGAGAAGGTGTTTAATCGTTGCACTTCCAAATGCTGAGATACTCAGAGTGGATTTTATTTTCTTAAACTCCTTCATACTGGCTTTTCTGCCATGACGCAGGTTAAAGAAAATGACACTATTAGACTACTACTTCAACCATCAGCTCTGTTTAAGTACTGATAAAAAAAACAAACAAACAAATCCAAGAGTTTTTGACCGACGTCCAGTAACACACCTTCGTGTCGTCTCTGCAGAGGTATCCTCAGCCACGAGGCCAGAAGAAGAAAAAGGTGGTGAAGTACGGGATGGGAGGCATCATCGTGGTGCTGCTGATCTGCATCGTCTGGTTCCCGCTGCTTTTCATGTCGCTAGTAAAATCTGTGGCTGGAGTTGTTACCCCGCCGCTGGATGTTTCGTTTGAAATCACGCTGGCGGGCTTTCAGGTAGGGGGCTCCACGGAAAAACTGGAGAATATGAACAGAGGTGCCCAGAGCAAAGCTCAGGTGTTTTAGTGTGAAACTGTTAAATGTGTTTTTTGGTTCCTGAAACTTGGATTTGTTCCGATCTGCAGGAAAACGTAAACATCAACTCACTGAACCAAAGTCTTCTGTCCGTCTGTTTTCTCCTCGCAGCCAATCTTCACGATGAGCGCTCAACAGAAACAACTGCAGACCATAACGACACCAGAATACAAAAAATTTAACAATAAATATTTTGGTAACGATGTGAGTACAGATCCAGAAACACGCTGCAGTAGGTTTGGGGCTGGTGTTCCTGTGAATGACCAACCAGACGACTTGGTTGTGTGTATGTGCTGGTTTCAGGACGCCATGCAGTGGCTGGAGGGCTACATGGCAGAAGATCTGATCATCGCTGAGCTTAAAGGAAGTTCCAACTCACTGTGGACCATCAGTCCACCCAGCAGAACCAACCTGATAGAAATGTTGAGCTCTGCCGAGGACTTTCCCATCACTGTGGCCTGGTCTGTGCAGAGGTAGACGCACCGGTGGACAAAAGATTAAAAAAAAAACAAGGATAACAATAATAATGAAGTGAAAAAATAGTCACAGCTCTAACTTACTTTGTTTTCATTTTTCTGTGACATCAGAAACCTCAGCCGCGGTGCCAAAGCTGAAACAGCGTCTGGAAAACGTGTGACGCCACTCGACCAGAGCACAAAGCTGGACTTGATAACTCTCCTGAACGGGACAGGAAGCAGATCGCAAGTGTAAGAGTTAATATCAATGTGTTTAGAAGAAAGGCCCACATCTCAATATCAAGGATTCTATTCTCAATTTATTGTTGCTTTTTTTTACACGGTCAATATACATGCTGTTATTTATACACATTGGGGGAAAGTGTTTTCATTTCAGTGTTGAATAATCTCGATGACTCGTGATGAATCCACAGCTTCTCTGTGATTAATCAGATTCAAATTGTAATTAATTATTCTTAACCTGCCCAGGTTTTTAAGGTATAAACACCAATATGACATAACCTGCTTCTCCGCTGTAGGACCCTCACCAACATCTTTCCACGTTATATACGAGCTCCCAGTGACTCCGATGCGAAACCTGTAGACCCGCTGTACAAGGGTGAGCAGAACGTTTTCATCAATGTGGAGATAAACTAAAATTAGATAGTAGAATTTAAAAATAACCCCTTTTGACTCTGTAGATGAGAAGATGATGGACATCAATCTGACTCTGATGAGAGCTCAGAACATCTCGGAGCATATCCAGGAATGGTGGATCGTCAACCAGACAGAGCTCGGTCCTATTGAGAAGAGAAGTCCCAAGTACAAGTACGAGGCCGGGCTGGAGGTGTACGTTTTTAGTGACCAAGTCAGTCCACCGAGTTTGGGTTTCCTGGCTGGATACGGGTGAGTGACAATTTCCTAATCTTAGAGGAGGAGTATGCAGGTAAAGTAAAAGGACAGAGAAACAGTTAAACAAATATTCCTCATGAAGACCTCAGGTTTATTACGTTCCACCGATAAAGATTTTTTCTGAACTTATTTATCTAAGACACAACCCCTCTGAAGTACTTCAATGTCCCCCAGAAGAGCTGTGCCTTGTACCTTTAGCTCATTTGTTAGCTCCCACTAATATAAAACTGTATGAAACAATCCAAACCTGTCTTCTTCCCTGTCCAGTATCATGGGACTGTACGCCTCTGTGGTGCTGGTCATCGGCAAGTTTGTGCGCGAGTTCTTCAGCGGTATTTCTCACACCATCATGTTTGAAGAGCTCCCCAACGTGGACCGCATCCTCAAGCTGTGCACTGACATCTTTCTTGTACGAGAGACAGGCGAGCTGGACCTGGAGGAGGACATGTACGCCAAACTCATCTTCCTGTACCGCTCGCCAGAAACAATGATCAAGTGGACCCGTGAGAAAACACAGTGAGACCAGATGTCAGTTCGTAAATGCCTGTACGCAGACACTGGGCTGCTGCTCTGCTGGTGCGAGTCGCAATTTTAGCCCATTTACCAGCCCAGGGAGCGCAAGCAGCTGAGGACAAACTCTGTCTTCCTCCTAGTCTGAGGTCTGATGGCAGTGTCATTAACCGGTGTGTTTTTTAACAGTTAACTGAATTAAAGACAGTCAGAAGTTGCAGACCTACTATTCAAATGATAACAGATTTGCTGGTGCTGTATTAATCGTACAAAAACTCAATCAGTTTTGCATCCAGCGCGTAGTAGCAGCAGCTGATGGTCAGCTGGTGAGGACACTAACACATTTTCCTAACTTCCTAACAAAGAGATCTTATGGCTAATATAACTGTAGATTTTTTTTAACCGGCCTTCCTGCTCTTCACACCTGTCCTCCTACATCTTCACTGCAGGCGGACAGAAGCTCAGACTGACTGAAATGTTCCACTTTTAAGGGCTTCCCACCGAGAATAGGTGCACAATAACGACCACATGAGCACAATCGCACATATTCTTCAACTGGAACACGTCAGTCGTCAGTGGGACTGTGCAATACTGAGCTCTTTTCTCCCGACTTTTCCCGAGGCACATGGACCTAAAAAAAAGAAAGATTTTTTTAAGCACACACGAAACACAAATAAATCCCACTTTTTTTTAAATCACGGAGGCCACGCTGAGCCTCTGCAGAGACAACAAAGACAATCTTTACTTGTCTTATTTTGTTTGTATGAAACGAACTGAAACTCTTATGAAGTACATATCTCAGGAAGAGCTGTTTTCACAGATATGGTATGTGTTGTATGTTAAAACATGTATAGGCTTTGATGGATCTAACTGAATACAAGGTAGGAAGGAATTATTTAAAATGGCATGAAATTTAATGTGGATATTGTTCAGACGGACTGATAATGTTTACCGCATAGGCTGTTCCTCAGAGACAGAGCTACATTGCCAATCATCCATGTTCTGCATAGTCTCCAGGTAGGTTAGAGGGGAAGCTCAGCCGAGCTGTTAGTCAATCAGGGTCATGAGCTTTTGGTGGGTGGACATCACTGGTGAACTTCTCACTGGTAACAATCTGTGGTTTCCCACTCATGGCTATTGAGCAGTGTGACGTCTTCATGAATGAATGAAGGGCTGGGACACCAAGCCCTTTTGCCCCAACTATGCATTATTGAACACTGTAGCATGAAGAAAAACTTTCATTACGTATACATTCAAATTTAAGAGGGGCAGGACATGGAGGAATGAAATGTGAAAATGTATGTTTAAGAATTGTGGTGTTAAAGAGGAGCGGAGATGTGAAAATAAAGACCGGTGTGGCGCCTTAACTGTTTTGATGATTTTTTAATTTTTTTAAAAATAAAAACCACTCATCATATCATTATTTATTTGCACCACCACTTAAGTTAAAAACAGTATCCACACCCATAATACCTGTTACTTTTTTTCATTTTTAATTCATGGATGAATGTGTCATGATCTGCTGCATGCCAATGTGCCCCTGAATAAAGCATTTTTCCCACATTGATTATCATACCTCAGCCAATAAAGACCAAGATTGACATTGTAACAACAGACCTTAAAGTAAATGGGTGTATTTTAATTACAAAGAAATGTAAAAGTCTGTCGAATTAAATCTGTGTTGTAATTTAAATGAGGAATGAAGCACTCATTATTCAGGCAGTTGTTAAAGACATCACAGAGAACAAAACACGGTGGGTAAGCCGTCTCTCACTGCCAAGTTTTTTTTAATTTTATTTTATTTAAAACCGGACTAAGGTTTGTCGTATGATATTGTAGTTAAGGCTTGGCCATTTAATGCTTCTACTGCGTCTATTTATATTAAACGTGTGTGTCACGACAGTCACCAATGGTTTTGGCAGTTTAGCATCAAAATCCTTTTTTAATCGGTTTAAACTTTTAAGTCGTTCATATTTTCCCATTTCTCCCCTTTTCTACTTTTATCAATGTATGTTTTATGAAGACTTAGTACGTCAGTACGACAGTCGGCCCTACTTTCTTTAAAAATCATTCAGGATGAATTATGTGACGTAAATTAAAACGTTATCAGAATTCGCGCCAACGTTCCGATTTGCGGCACAACCTAGGTAAATAATACAGAACACTTTACAGCTTGTAAGTTTCGCGGTGCTCGAGGACTACGATTTGACTCAATGAATCGTGACTAAACAAAAAAAAATCAAGAACTTGAATTTTAGGAGCGGTCAACGAAGTCTGACATTTTGTTTAACTGCAAAACCGTCAGCTTTTGAATACATTTCCGAACAGGTAAAATAACCGAACAAACTCTCTTTTATGTACAGTATATTTGATTAATTTGTGTGAAACAACCAAAAACGTTACCATATTTTGTTGAATTATCGTTTAAAATTATTTAGAAACAGTCGGAATAATCGATTTTTATCACTTATTAATCTACTTAGGGCCACACAGCGCCCCCCTCCTCCAGAGATGAAATCAACACAGAGCGTAATTGGTCTACACTTATTGATAATGATGATTACTTAAATCAAATTTAAGTAACTACTAAACAAATATTTTGTTCTGGTTATGGTTCATTTGTACAGCCTTAGTTCACATGTTTCAGTGACGTAGTTCAACCAGGACTGGCAGCTCACAGGGAGCCGCTCAGTACTTTAGTTTTCATTCAAGTCCGCTTGTGCCCCAGCTAATGCACAGCAGCACGAGGATCCGTCCGGAATCCCAACAGTAGTAGGAATGTGTGTGCATTAAATATCGCTTCACAGGGAGCGAGGGCATTAGCCTCATCAAAGATAAATAGGTCCTGGGGAGCTACACGGTCGTTACACGTCTGTCCCGTTTGCTGCAGACGCACAGCCGCTGTTCGTCTCACTGATGTGGAAAAATCTGTCCAGCGCATTTAGGAAAATGTACACAGACCATAAAACGCCACACAGCGGAAATGTTTATTGATGTACGAGCAAATTCTGAAGATCTGCTTTCGAGGTTCTTACACAGCGTATGAATACAACACACACACACCGTTTAACATTGACTGATTCTACTGTTAGAATCTAAATCTACAAAAGGTTTATTGATGAGTTATAGTCAACTCTTTCACAAAGTTGTATGCTTCAATAGCTATTCACATTTTTAGCAGCTAAATAATAAAAAAAACATACTTGGGATTTTAGAATATTTTAATTTGGGTCTGTCAGAGATCATTTCACATTTACAGTATAAACAGTACAATGGCAAACACACATGAAGGAGATCAAAGGTCGCAGAAGACATCACTGCATGGTCCCTTTTTGTTTACTTAGTGAGTCAGGCTTGAGGTTTAGATGAAACTGTTTCCTGGTGAGTGTTATTTTCCACTTTTGGAATATTCCCTTCTTTTAGGAAAGAAAGTCATGCGAATCAGTTGATAATATTCATGAGTTCATTGCAGCGTGGCTTTTCTTAACATGCAGAAAGTGAGTGATTGCATATCGTCCCAGTCCATTTCCTCAGCCACCAATACTGAGTAAAACACCTTAAATCAATAAACACCTCAAATCAACTAACACCATCATACCGGGCTATTCATCGTGTATATTCTTCTTGGATAAATTTTAATAATTTTTTATATACTAATGTAAACCTACAGCAGTAACATATATACCACTAGACACAATAATAACACATGTACATACAACAGTCTTTTATACATTATTCAACATTGAAGAATGACCCCCCGCCCCGCCACTCCCAAGCTCTAATTTTTCTTCTTTAATTTCCACACATTTAAATCTGAGTTTTTTTTACCCATTTTCTGAGTTAAAACAGTCATCCATGTGAGTTTTAGAGATAAATAAAGGGTTTTCTTCTTTTCTTTTCTTTTTTAAACATACACACAGGGTGTGATGGTAGAGCAGCACATGGGTGGAGAAGCAGGATGTGGAGGATGGAGACTAACACAGCCCGCCCTCATAGTCGTCCTCCTCTTCAGCTGCAGCTGACGTTGCACTACCGCCACCCTGTGGAGCAGCAGGGGCCTTCTTCTTTCCTCCCCCTGGTACTCTCAGGGAAATGGCCAGTTTGGCATACTGTCAGAGTGGGGAAGAAAATTGATTTTCTGTCAGCTTCTGAATGCTTTGATGCTCAGGTCAGTTTTTTTTTTCTGCTTCATTTATTTCGTTTTTATTTAATGTGCTTTTTGGTTTTGTCCTTGTTCACCTCTGTAAAGATCAGGAAGCCAAAAAATATTATTTTAGTTGTTGGTTTTGAAATTGGATGAAACTACAGCTCACACAAATATGTTTGAATAAAAAAATCTGAAGGTGTAGTTAAGGATAAACCAACAAAAATGTTCTATTATATGTTTACAAATGAATCCTATTCATTCAGAAATTCAAAACCCATAGGTTTAATCTGGTGAAAAGAGATTTGTAGTACTTTGTATGTGGGATGTACTAAACACTCAAAGGAAAGCATCTGTAGTTACAGCACTCACATCATTGTCCATGTACTTCAGTAAAGGTGAGTTGCACACACGGTAAACCTGGTCATCGTCCTGCTCGTCGTACCCCTGAAGTAGGGTCTCCATGGCGACGCAGTCTTCACTTCCGCTGTAGCCTGGCAGACTTGTTAAAAAAAAATATTGAACAGCATTTTTTATTTATAGATGTCATCTGTTGTGATGAGTCACAAATATTACCATTCCAACACCAGTTGTGATGGTTTACAAAGTAAGGATTATTCTAAGTTCTTCTTGCAGTAAGAACAACACAGAAATCCAACCTGAAAATTCTCCTACCTGTAACTTTCCCTGACACATTTGTCAGCTGCGACAAAATCAGCTCTGTGAAGATGAACCAGCACTTGAGCAGTTGTTTTCTAAAATTAAAAAATATTAAAAATGTTAGTGTGTGCCCCATTGCAATAGCTTTATGTCTGTATGAGGGGTCTGCCCCTCACTTTAAGAACCACTGACATACATGCAGTGTTGTCCAAAATGTCTGATAGTCTGATATTTGGGGAGAAAAATCCTTCCCATCCATTTATGACTTGTGTCTGACTGTCTAACTTTAAATGAGAAAAAACCGACCTTAAAACACATGGGGAAGTTCTCAATTTCTTTGTACATGTTCTTCTCTTTCTGCAGAGCAACTGTAGCTTCATCCAACCTGGTGATGAAAACCACAGGATGACAAGTGAACACACAGGTAACAGAGAGGAGGAATAATAATGATAATTAGACATGAATATGATTATTGTTATTGTTATTATTATTAATGTAATTCCAAGACATGGCTTTGTCATCTGGTAGTTATTGGTCATGACAATAGATGTCCTGTGAAACACATCACCTCCCTCCAACTCTTCTTTACCTTTTTAACCTGACCAGGAGCCTGGATGCTTTGCCCAGCAGCTCAACTGCCTGACGGAGACGGTCTTCATTCTGGAAATGGAAAATAAATGATTTATGGCCTTTGAATATGGGCTGCCCTGCTGGTGAGTGCACAGCTATATACAGTGTATATACTGTATGTAGTTCTTCTCTGGATTTTCCCTAAAAAAACAGTCTGGTATATGATGCATGTCCCCTACTGGTTATAAAGTGATATTAAAGTCCGATGTCTGTCTCGCCCTGTTGCGTTTCGGTCCAAACTCTCGCGTTTAAGTGGAACATTGTGACAATGACTGCGACATTACCTCAAACACTCCGGCTGCCTTCTGATACAGGTCCACGGCTTTCTCCAGGTTTATAGGTTCAATTAGTCTGAGGAGCAAAAACTAAGTTTGAGTAAAAGTGTTGTCTTTTTACAACAGAGGAAAACAAAGAGGTAGAATTAATTTGAATTCATTAGAACCATATATGGAGTAATGTTCTTACTTCCCAGCTCTGTCCAGAGCCATAGCAGCCGTGTCAGGCGTCCCGTTCTCCATGTACATCATACAGGCCTTCTCTATGTACTGGATGGCCTCTGGCATCTTCTTCTGCTCCTGTTACATCACAAACACAACTCTGTTTCAGACACAATATCATCCTGGGAATTTAGAAATAATATATTTTTTATATTTATCACTAAAACTGACATTTGTGATTTTAATTACCTTAAGTTTTTATTTATTTTTTAATTAATTTTATTTATTTTGTCTGTGCTCACCTTCATCATCATCCCAGCCTGTTCAATGGCCCTGTAAAAAGAGAAGGAGCTCTTAGAGTGAGATATATTCTTTTTTCACTATCTCCACTGCTGTATTGTGCTAATATTATAACCAGGAAACTTACTTTGCTGCATGAAAAAGCCTGAAGAGGGATGTTAAGGAAACAATAACACAGGCTCAGCTTACAGTCTGTTGTTTTCTTAGAAAAACAATAGGAGCAGTGAAAAGATACGTCTTGTTTTCTGTGTGACTCTCAGCTTCCTTTAGGTAGGCGTCCTTGGCCTGTTCATACTGCTTGGCATTCTTGAAGCACACGGCTGCAATGTAGTTTGTAAATTTGTATTTATGATTTTTCATCAGTGGGAAGGAAGCAGTTAGGCATCATGGGTATTTTGTCTAACTGTAAATTTCTATGACGTGATATAAAACATTGCTAAAAGAACACATCAAGTATTCAGAAATACATCCCAGTACACGACAATAGCGAGATTTTATTTTTTACATTTTACATGTTGTCTTAATACAGTACTAATAGTACAGTACTAATTTGTGTATTCACTGGTTTGACTGTTACCTGCTTTGCCGTATTCTGATGCAGCACTGTCATAATCAGGCTTCCACTTGGTGAGGCTCGTCTTTAAGCTGCAAACAGACATTTTAACACAAGTTTTAATTTGTACACGCGTACGACAAAACATTGCTCTACATACGTGTTTTATCCTTTCCGATTTAAATGTCACACTGGCCTGACAGCTAGCTAACCTTAGTGATGAAAACTGCTTTAGTGAAAAACAAACGAGCCGCAGTTTTATGTCATAACTCACCATTTTTCCGCTTTAGCTATGTGTTCATGAGCTTCGTTTATCTTCTGAGCAGCCATGCTGTCCAGTGATTTTAATGCGACAAAACGATATTGATTACTATAAATCGCCGCAACGTTTTGGCTCGATGTTTGGATTATTGTGGAACTCCTCCTCGACTGCAACGTCACACCATGTACACGTCACTGCGGTGCGACGGAAGTTGATAGGCATTTGTCTTCGCATATAATTGTTTTTATGGTTATGCTGTTATACTGTTCGTTGGCAACATGTTGGCGAATAATAATGGATTCCTTTGTTGCTCTACACGTTAACACGAAGCAAACGATACACTGTTGAATAGAGAAATTCTCCCGACAGCGTAGTGAACTTCATAAACAGGACTGTCACGTGACCCCATCATGTGACAGTCCTGTTTCTGAAGTTCACTAGTTGTAACTGACATAATTATTGAGTATATAAAAAATAATTGCATTTATTCTTATTTATTAACCAAAATAAACGAGACGTCATTGCAGTTGGGTCTCCTGTAATTTAGAGATCCGTTTGCTAACTATATTTTCTGTGGACATTTAAGTTTAAGAAACTTTTTAAAAACGTCATAATGTTTTATACGCAAGTCCAGTTATGTGTGTAACTAGGATAGAAGCCTTAATATTTAATATATTTTATATTTTATATTGTATTCATTATTTTTTCTTCCACCACTTTATCGTGTGAAGGCTTATGTCTTTATATTTTTGTCATGCATTACTATACTTTTGGCAGTAATCGTATTATTAGTAGTATTGATAGCTATAATTTTAATAATAATAATAATTCCGTTTGATTCCTTTATGTTTAAAAGTTTTCCGGAAGCGGAAACGTATTGTGGTCGATGACGTCAGAATGGCTCCGGTCTGTAATGGCTGAACAAAAACAAACCCTAAGGAGAAAGCCAAACTTTTCGCAACTTCCACTGGGCCATTAAAAAGTTGTAAAGAGTATATTGTTTCTTCACTGTGTGTCTTACGGCCCTTTTATTTACTTGTCCCGGATGAGGGATTACTAATGGATCCCAGATATGACATACCGCGGAGGGCCGCCGCCGGTGGTGGCGGTGGCTCCGCGAACTCGTCGCCCGCTCTGGGAGCTCAATCGCGCCGCAGGAAGATTCCTCCGAGACCCGCTGATTTTAAACTGCAAATTATCATAATCGGCTCCCGTGGTGTTGGTAAAACGAGTCTTATGGAAAGATACACGGACGACACTTTCTGTGAAGCCTGCAAATCCACAGTAGGTGAGTACAAGACGTGTTCACGGACTATTTTGTTTTTATGTTTTTGTCAACTTCTAATTAACATACAGCTGTTCTCCCTCCGCTCATCGACAACCAGAAAACATAGACCAAACTGACATATAAACAAAGTCTGCATCCTAGTTGCTAATGACATATTACTCATCACTTAAAGGGCGTCCATAGTTCAGTGATACGTCTGCAATAACTGCTCATTAGAGGCTTAGTTATAGTAAACAGAATGGCTTGACATTTGTCTTACTGGAAGAACTGTCGAAATAATAAAAGTATGATGGAAAAATCTGTCACTTTGTTCATTTTAAACTATAATATTTAAAGATTTATTATTACCTTGATTAAAAAGTAAATAATGCCTTTGAGGGATTCAGAGACAGTCAATTTGTAAACATAAGGTGTTGTGTGTTTGTAGTATTGAGCAAACACTCATGTGACCAGCACTGCTGCTAGCGAACAGTGTCTGATCCCAAAATAGTCTCTCTCTGACAGCTGCTGTGGCAGAGCTCCACTTTATGCCCGTTTACACCCGTGACAGAGTTTAGAGGTTTTGTGAGGTCTCCACTGGCATTTGATGATTGATCTGATATGTAGAAGAAACCTTCATAGTAGTAGATTGTTGCTGTAGTTATCCACAGACACATATAATTACAAACATAATTTAAAGATGTTTATGATACATTCAGATGTTTATGAGGTTTTAGTTTTCTCAGTATTATGTCTGTATAACCTATATTTAAACCTTTATCAATGCATCTTTATATAAATTCTGAAAGATAAATTCTAAAAATGCTGGTCCGTGCACAGTTAAACATGTTCATGTTTAATTCACTTTGTAGGAGTGGACTTCAAAATCAAAACAGTTGAGCTGAGAGGGAAGAAGATAAGACTTCAGATCTGGTGAGAAACCATGCTTCAGCAGATTCTTTTCTTCTGTGTCATGTTCAGTTTTACTGCAGAATGTTTTCATAAAAACTTACTGATACTTTTGCTGTAATGTGAAAGAACTAACTTAAGGACAAGAGATTTCTCTAAAGTGAAACATTTTCTGTCCAGTCATTGATGTGGTGATAAACACACAACATGTTACTGGTTGAAAGGCTTCTGTACTTGTGGCTTGGCTAAAGCATGGGAGCATTCTATTGCTTGTCTCACTAACACATCTGACCCTCGACCCCACTCCTGTGCCTGTCTTCAACCCGTCTAACCAGGGAGACCGCCTTTGGTGTGTCGTGTCTCTCACATCCTACTGCTCATGTTGCTGCCAAAACAAACACTGCCTTTTTGCCAGTGCTGTCTCTCGTCTACCCTTCTCTAAAGCCTGAGACTGTGACTCACAGGGGAAACAGGGAGAGGCAGGTTGGCTAGAGTGGCTGTAACGTGCACTGTGAGTGAGAGCCTGCTGTCTCACTCACAGTGCCTGTCATGCTGCTGCTGCTGCTGCTGCTGCTAACACACAACAGGATGAATCACAATGAAACCCTACAACCTATCTGTACAAGAACAAGTTGCTCTTTTTTAGTATTTTGGTATTCCTGCTACTTATCCAATAATATGCCCCATCTACGGCCACAAGAGGGCACTGTCCCCCATCTTGACAAGTGACCGCTGCCTCTGGAGTCAGCACAATCATTTAAACACAGGATGTGGAATTAAACGAAACGTGTTAAGCCTTATACTCACTTAAAGAACAAAACAAAGTTGTTGCACAGGAGGATACATTTTCATCTGCGAATTCCTAAAATCAAAATGAGAGAAATGAAAGTGAGTCAAATACAAATGTCCACAAATCAAAATGATTACTGAAACATTTCACCCTGAATTGTTGTGTTCTTGTATTTGTTCAAAAATACCTTACAGTTTCATAAATACACTGATCAATACATTGACATTTGAAGCTCATCTGACACTTCTTTGACCCAGGGACACCGCAGGACAGGAGAGGTTCAACAGCATCACCTCAGCCTATTACAGAGGTGCCAAGGGAATAGTGTTAGTCTATGACATCACCAAGCAGGAGACCTTCGACGACCTCCCCAAATGGATGAAAATGATAGATAAGGTAAACAAGCTAACGTGACTACATCACACAGCCAGGTTTTGTGGGACATTTGACCGTGATGTCGTCTCTTATCAGAGTGAGACAGTAACTGTTGTCTGTCCTTTCCACTTCCTGGTCAGTATGCGTCAGAGGAAGCAGAGCTCCTTCTGGTGGGAAACAAGCTGGACTGTGAGACAGACCGTATCATCTCCAGACAGCAGGGGGAGAGGGTGAGTCCAGAGAGCAGCTCTGACCTATTCAGTAGGTCACTGAACATCCTCCATAGTATACTGCAGATGATACTGCAGTGTTACAAGCCTTTTCACTCAATAAAAATGAGGCAGTAAAGAACTGGTGACTTTATTTTGGAATAATGTATTTCTGATGGTTTGTGTTGACTTTCATCAACTGAATGATTTTATTTTTTGTTAATTCCATTTCCTGTCTCCTCACAGTTTGCCTCTAGAATCAGTGGAATGCGCTTCTGTGAAGCCAGTGCTAAGGACAACTTTAATGTGGACGAGATCTTCCTAAAGCTTGTAGATGATATTCTTAGCAAGGTGGGTGTGAATGGTTTAACACTATCTAACTAACACTGCACATTACCAAGATGCCATCTACTGACAAAAATAATATTTTATCTGCTTGATGCAAAAATGACACAAAAACGAAACTCTGATCTGCAGACCCCTGTTGAAGACCTCTGGTCTATGGTACAAAATACAACCAGGTGAACACTGGTACTGACCTGTTTTCTGACTCTCCCTCACATTGTTCTTCTGTTCCTGATCCAACAGATGCCTCTGGAAGTTCCCAACAAGGAGCTTTCCAACAGTGTCCTGTCTCTGCAGCCTGAACCGGAAGTGCCTCCAGAGTTGCCCCCTCCTCGCATACGCTGTTGCTGAGACGGGTCCCCGTCACACAAGCACACTTAGAACTCATGTTACAAGCAACAATTTGGCCACAAGGGGGCAGGACACTGCAACAATTTAAACATGTTACTTCCTGCTCTTCAAGTGTATAGATTTTTGACTACCCAGTATTATCTGCTCTGCTTTTTTTCCCTCTTCCTCTGTTTTGTAACAGGACTCGTGCCAAACTAACATCTAATCAGCTGAAGAAGCCTCTTGGATGAGAGGTGGTCTTCAGAAAAAAAAAACTACTTTGTCCAGTTGCTTTCGATGTACCCATTTTTTGGCTTCCTTCAGACCTCTCTGTTCACATTTTACCCAGACTACCTCACTCCTCACATAGTTAGGTCCGCTGCACCCCTCGGGTTCCTTCATGGAGCAGAGGCTCCTGGTGATGGTTGCACATTTTTGTAGAAGGGGATTTAAGAGGGTTTCACAACTCGGTCACATTCTCTTCTCATCATCACCATCACATTTTCACAGTGGGGTTTACGAAAGTAAAGCGTAGTGAAGTATTTCTTCTTCTTGAGGTATTTCTACAGAGACGTCAGTGTTGAGCTGTAGGTCAGATGACAAATATTAGCCGAGTGAGATGCTGCTTGTCCTTCACCAAGTGTGTGTCGGTGAGAAATTTGCAATACTGTTACGTCAGTCTTTTGAACAAGCTTTTTTTCACATTATAAAAATGTTTGCACTCTGTGGAAAAGTTAAGAACACGACGATTAAGAAAAGCACTAAAAAAGAAAATCAACGTTGACTCGACTACTGGAGACGAGCGTTCGTCATGGAAGGAAAGACGGTTGTTGTAATTTTTAGTGGGTTTTTGCAAGTTACTGACATTTGGAAGGATTTGAGATGATGACCTACTTCATGGTCATGCAAGGGTTTTGGTATTTAACACTTGGTTCCTTTGGATTTAGATTCAGGGCAGAGGAGCTGTGGTAGATCTGTTGGGGGTGTATTTGACTGACTCAGGAAATTTGTTTTGGATAAAAACTGTTTTCTTTCGTCTGGGGTGTGATCATAGACCTGCAGTTTGCAAAGGAGGCTAGCAGCTTTGAAGTCATGACACGGCAGTTTTTCTTTAAGGACCAGTTGCGTGGTTTTACTTGACACGAGGATGAGCTTGGTTCCTAGTCATTTCATTTTTTTAATATAGTATTTGTTGTGGTATTACTGCAGTTTGAGCACCGTGGGCGTCTCAGTTTTGTTACTACATGTAGAAGCGGCAGCCCAGGTGAAGGAGGAGCCGCTTCAGTGGAATGTTGACGTTAGGAATCGAACAAATCTAGTGTTTTTTACCGATGGAAAAATACAAACTTTCTTCTTCTTCTTCTTCTTCTTCTTTCGGCTTTGTCCCTTTTTCAGGGGTTGCCACAGCAAATCATTGAAAAATACAAACTTTGACCAGACAAAATACCTGACGATGACCTGACTATAACTGTTCTTTGCTGACAGTTTATTATTCAAACTTTTGGATTTTCATTTTCTTTGGGCTCATGTTTGGAATTGAACCTTTTTTCCTGTCCTTTTCTCTGATTTCTTTTTTTAATACTCATCACTAACCCTACAGTCTCTTGTAGGCAAGATACTATACTACTCTATGATTTATTACACATATATTTTATCCATTCATGTGGTTCTATAGTGTAGCCGTTATAACACATGCCTTACATGTCTGCGTGCCTGGGTTTGAGCCCTAGAGGAACCCCATACTAAAATCCTTCTGATGTAAGTTGTGTCTGCTAAACACATAAATGTCATTCATAATTGTGTATGCTTAAAGAAAATGGAAGACTGTACTTTGTATTAAACCTGTTTCAAGCCTTTGAAAAAGTTCTGGCATGTTTTCAAAAAGGATTTATTGTATTTATAACTTGTGCCATTCATGAACTAATGAGATGCAATAAAAAAAAATAATGTTTTGTGCCTGTAATGTTTGGACTGTTGGAGTTTATTTCAGTGTCTGGTCATTCTGTGACCCTGTGAATTCTCCCTTTTGTCTCCTATTCCAAGGTTGAATATTTTATTCTTTTTAATTATTGCAAATGTTCAATCTAGTCATGCTTCATATTTCGATTTCCCCGAGCAATATTTTAACTCATCACTCTTGTCATTAGAGGGCGTCATCTTCAGACCGTGTCAGACCTGGTCCCACAGATGACTGTACTCAGGGGAACTGCTGCTGCTGCCGCCGCGCATGCGCACTACTGAAACTCACGGCCGTGGATCCTCACACCGCAGCAACTGCAGATATTCCATGTCAGATTGGAAGGAGAGGGAGCAGGGAGGACGAAACACGGGGGGAGCAGCGCGTAAAGGCCACGAGAGAGGGATGGAGACCCGGTGTGAGGAGCAGGAGGAGGGCTGAAGTGACTCCTTTCTTTCTTTCCCTTTTTTTTATTTACTTAGTCTTGATCCGCATATGCAACCTGCCCGTAATCCCATCTATGCCTCTAATCCCCGTTTATTCGATCGTTTCCTCAGAGGTGGATCCACACTGACAGCCTGGTGAGTGCAGACAGGATGGAGTGAAAGAGCCAGCACAACGCAGGATGCGCATCTCCAGCCTGACCAGGAAGAAGACCAAAAACCCCGAGTGTCTTCCAGGCGTCGCCTGTCAGAGACTTCCCTCGGTGCCGTGGATTGATCCCTTCCTACATCCCCGTGCTGCTGCTGGAGTATAATGGAGAGCTCCAATGGCTCTGGGGGTGAGCACAAACCGCAGAACCACCAGGTGGAGAAGAAGAGGCTGAACCGAGCACCGTCCCCGGCCAGACCGTCCCTCAAGGATGTGCACCCCCGCTCCACTAAACCACCTGCCATCGTCCCCAAGTCCGTTATAACACATGCCTTACATGTCTGCGTGCCTGGGTTTGAGCCCTAGAGGAACCCCATACTAAAATCCTTCTGATGTAAGTTGTGTCTGCTAAACACATAAATGTCATTCATAATTGTGTATGCTTAAAGAAAATGGAAGACTGTACTTTGTATTAAACCTGTTTCAAGCCTTTGAAAAAGTTCTGGCATGTTTTCAAAAAGGATTTATTGTATTTATAACTTGTGCCATTCATGAACTAATGAGATGCAATAAAAAAAAATAATGTTTTGTGCCTGTAATGTTTGGACTGTTGGAGTTTATTTCAGTGTCTGGTCATTCTGTGACCCTGTGAATTCTCCCTTTTGTCTCCTATTCCAAGGTTGAATATTTTATTCTTTTTAATTATTGCAAATGTTCAATCTAGTCATGCTTCATATTTCGATTTCCCCGAGCAATATTTTAACTCATCACTCTTGTCATTAGAGGGCGTCATCTTCAGACCGTGTCAGACCTGGTCCCACAGATGACTGTACTCAGGGGAACTGCTGCTGCTGCCGCCGCGCATGCGCACTACTGAAACTCACGGCCGTGGATCCTCACACCGCAGCAACTGCAGATATTCCATGTCAGATTGGAAGGAGAGGGAGCAGGGAGGACGAAACACGGGGGGAGCAGCGCGTAAAGGCCACGAGAGAGGGATGGAGACCCGGTGTGAGGAGCAGGAGGAGGGCTGAAGTGACTCCTTTCTTTCTTTCCCTTTTTTTTATTTACTTAGTCTTGATCCGCATATGCAACCTGCCCGTAATCCCATCTATGCCTCTAATCCCCGTTTATTCGATCGTTTCCTCAGAGGTGGATCCACACTGACAGCCTGGTGAGTGCAGACAGGATGGAGTGAAAGAGCCAGCACAACGCAGGATGCGCATCTCCAGCCTGACCAGGAAGAAGACCAAAAACCCCGAGTGTCTTCCAGGCGTCGCCTGTCAGAGACTTCCCTCGGTGCCGTGGATTGATCCCTTCCTACATCCCCGTGCTGCTGCTGGAGTATAATGGAGAGCTCCAATGGCTCTGGGGGTGAGCACAAACCGCAGAACCACCAGGTGGAGAAGAAGAGGCTGAACCGAGCACCGTCCCCGGCCAGACCGTCCCTCAAGGATGTGCACCCCCGCTCCACTAAACCACCTGCCATCGTCCCCAAGTCCCCCAAACTCAAGCAGCAGCAGCAGCAGTCTGCCTCCGTGCCCTCATCGCATCCCAAAAGCATCTTCCGGCGCACTCCTCGGGCCAAGGAGAAACCAGCTGCCGTGAAAAGTAGCCCCAAATCCCCTGTGGTGAAAAAGCCCACCAAGGGACCCCATCATGCAGCAGCTGAGGCCAAACCCACGAGCCCCAAACCGGACAGCACCAGCAGCCCGACTCTCGCCAAAGGCAAGAAGGAGAAACCAGCCTCCCCCGGCCCGCACAGCCAAGTATCTCTGATCCGGGTACCGACCGGAGTGGCTCTCGCCCGCGTCAGTCAGACGGACAGCAGCTCGGATCTGTCAGACTGCCCCTCTGAGCCGCTGTCAGATGAGAACAGACTGGCGCCGGCCGCCAGTAGCGACGCCGAGTCCGGTACCGGCTCCAGTGACCGGGACCAGCAGGGAGCCGAGAACCCGCTGCGGCCAGAGGCCACAGGAGCGGCGGCTGCTGCCGCTGCTGCTCTGCGCACAACAGAAGCTTCTGCAACCGCCAAGGAAAGCATGTCTCAGGCTCAGCCCGCTCCGGGGGCGCACGGTGATAAACACAAGCAGAAACAGGCAACAAGCGCACAATTCAAACTGCCAGCCACCAGAGATCCAGCCGAGGAGGAGCTGCTGCGAGAGATCGAAGATCTGAGATCAGAAAACGACTACCTCAAGGTAACGTCACCGTGTGTCAACCGCTGACCTGAGATCAGAGTTCAACGACATCTGCAAATCCTTAGAAACTGCTTTAAAAAGTCACGAGTTCCTCTGCACGTTTTCCTAATAAATAACTAAGTCAATTATTGTGGTGCACCGCAATGGACAAAACATTGAAAAGGTTCAAATAGATGACATTCAGGTGAAGGAACTGTAGTAGCTGTGTCTTCAGTGTGATGCTCTGTGGTTCATCATCAGATGTCCTTAGTCAGCATTCCTGGTAGCATCCTTACACTGTCCTCAATCAAAGAATGGAGGAGTAAATTAGCACAGAAACATACTGTAGTTTCTACACCTGCAAGGGTCGGACCCTGTTTTCTTCTTGTGTGTTTGTGTGTGTGTGTGTGTGTGTGTGTGTATCAGTCAGTGACTGCCTCCTCCTCTTTATGACTCCACAAAAACACAAGGGACTTAATCGGCTTTTCTGCCTACAGCTGTAGTGTCTCCATCCCACAGGATTTGGCATTATTCTCCATAGATGGGGGGGGGGGGGGGGGGGGGGGGTAGAAGGGGGCATAGTTTGGTTCAAACCCCCTCCACTCTGGTTGTCAGGCGTCCAGCTGGGTTCCTGTGCTGCTGACATCATCAACTCTGTGTTATTTCTCGTGTGTGTTGGCTGTGGTACTGTCTGCTGGTCCGTCCAGGTTGTCTCTGTCCTGCTTCCTGTCCGGGGTCTCCGTCTCTCTCTTCTCGACCCCAAAGGAGGACCAGCAGCAGACAGTGGTTGAATGAATTATAAATGGTTCAGTCAACAGAAAATGTATCAACTAATGCATTATTAACTCACATCAGTGACTCAGACGTTAGGATCATGCACTGGTAAAACTACTGGACCTGTTCCATTCAGAGGGACATTTACTGTGGAAACTGCACATAAGATATAACTTCATCTACTTTCCATTAACTTATTTTAATATAATTGAAATGAAGGAACCATAACTTTGCTACTGCTGTGTTTTAGAATCATGAAAAAGACAAAAAAATATAAAAGTGGACTCTGCTGCTGTTGTCTCTCCCAGGATGAAGTGGACGAGCTGCGAGCAGAGATGGAGGAGATGCGTGACAGCTACCTGGAGGAGGAGGTCTATCAGCTGCAGGAGCTGCGCAGGGAACTCGACCGATCCAACAAGAACTGCCGCATCCTGCAGTACCGCCTTCGAAAGGCGGAGCAGAAGAGCCTGCGGGTCGCACAGACGGGACACATGGACGGAGAGCTGCTCCGTAGTCTGGAGCAGGACTTGAAGGTCAAAGATACTCCACTTTAAACTGTGACTTTGTCAGGACTTTTGGTTGTGTTTTGTTTTCTAATTGGCAGTAAATAAACCAGGTCTCTGTGAACTGACCTCAGACAGGACACTGATTCACTGAGAGTAAACAAATTAACATTTACACTAGGACAACACAAAATAAGTTGGAAAAACCATGAAGGGTGAGGAGGATTATTCACTCTTAATTGACTGTAGGTGTGAATGTGAACCTGAATGGTAATTTGTCTCTATGTCGCCCTCTGATGGACTCAGACTGCAGTGATTGGCTGGTGTGTGTGTGTTTATGTTTTATCCTGTACACAAATGTCTGTAAAACAAACACGTCTGCGTTCTGGACCTCAGGTGGCCAAAGACGTGTCTGTGCGTTTGCACAACGAGCTGGAGAGCGTGGAGGACAAACGCAGCCGAGCCGAGGACGAGAACGAGCTGCTCAGGCAGAAGATCATCGAGGTGGAGATTTCCAAACAGGCACTGCACAACGAGCTGGAGCGGACCAGAGAGGTAAGGGAGCGGGTCGGTACTGTAGAACTGACATCTGTGTTGTCTCTCTGAGCTCTGCTCCTGGGTGAATCTGATGATGATGACGCTCTGATGTAGAAGGAAAGCAGGTGGTGAAACGCCTGTTTTTGCTGATCTCAGGTCTGTAGTCTTTGTGTGTGTGTGTGTGTGTTTTACACTCCTGGTTCCAAAATGTGAAACGTCTGACTCCCAGACTAGCAGCTGCCTACTAGGACCAAAGGACAATCACTGATGTCGTCTGTTTTAAGTCATCTTTAGACAAGACTCTAGACTGCTCTTTGTTTTCTGATTTCCCTCAGAGCCGCGGCTTTATTAGGATCGTCATACTTACAGGATTAGACGGAGAGTCTGGGACACAGATGAGACTGCACTTTTCTGTGATTCCCAGAAATTTGGCACAGCAAAACAACCCGCATGTCTGTGTTAAAACAAATACCAGCAGCAGCTTCCCTGCTCTGGTCTACTGAACATGACATCTGTAGTTTCTCTACGTCTGAAGACTGTCATCATCCGCACAATCCACTCTCAAGTTTTTTTCAGACTCGTTGGTTAACAACAGTGACACGGATGAGCAGCAAATTCAGTGATAAAAATGTGGTTGAACTGGATCTTGAAGTTGTTCTCGTCCTCCTGTACTGAACGCAGAGCAAAGTCAGTGTGAAGAGAAGTGTTTTGGGATTAATTTACGGGTCGAATCCAGGCCATTGAAAAAGGTTTTTTGTCTCTTAAAATGTCCTTCATCACTTTCTAAAAATCCATCCGTTACTGTTAACCAGGCATAAATTCTACACTCTCAACCTTCACTACGTCTCTAAAGGTAGATTGTGTTGAATGCTCTTCAATTTCCTTTTTTTTTCTGCTGAAAGAGCAGCTGACCTGAAAGTTGAGGGATCTATTCTCACCAGAAATAAAAATTCCTGCCCAAATTAGTTTGGTTTTCAAAAACACATCCATGAACAGAAGATGTTTTGTTTTAGTAAGAAAATCACAGATGTGTTGTTTCTTCACCTGCTTCTTTCCCTCATCTCTGCCGTCAGAGATTAGACGACGTGCCTTTGAGCCAAAGACTGACACCGACGTCTGGGTCAGTGCATGAAGTAAACAGCAGTCTGTGTTATTACACACACTCTGAGGAGAGGAGACAGCGTGGCAGAGAGGCTCCATAGAATGACCCCTTGTCACAGTGAACATGTTATTCCTCCTGCATCTGGTGGCAGCTATTAAAGACGCGGGGCGGGGGATTTATTCAGTCCCCTGACCTTTGAGAAAAGACCTGCTAATATGTGTAATGAAATGGAACTAATGAACTGTCGACGTACGTAACACAGGTGTCAGCTGATTTATTAGCTGCTCCCATTCCTCCGTGATCGGTGCAGATTTTATTACAGTGAATTATAATCTATGTGTTCGTCCTCTGGTAGCGGCATCCCCGTGTTTGTGGGTTCTGTACAGTTTCCTTCCACAGTCGGAACATTTGAGGTAGGTTAGATATTAGATATTAACTCTGCTTTGATCATTGGTGTGAATGGAAGTGTGAATGGTTGTCTCTACATGTGGCCCTGTGCTCAACTGTCAATCTGTCCAGGTAACTGCGTCCTGCTCGGTAACTACTGTGATTTGGCTGCATTTGTAATAAGAAGATTTGCAGCATTTCTTTGTCTGATGTATAAAGTATTTTGGGCTTCATTTTTTTCCCGACCTCCTTAACCAGTACTGTACTCCTAGTATCACTTCTTGTTTTTCCCCCTCCATCCCTGGTCACCATAGCAGCAGTCTACAGCACAGGGATTTAACACAGTTTTTACACTGAACGTCCTTCTCGCTGTAACCTCATCTGTCACTGTCCAGAACTACGGACGGGCTAGATTCAAACCCGTGACCTTTTGCGTGTCAGGATAAGAATTTTACTGCAGAATATTTGTTTTTTATACTAAGAAAAAAAAGGTTCTTATGTTGGAGACATTTGATGCAGCATCTTTTCACTACAAAGACTGGAGAGAGGGGAAAGTCTGCACTGATCATCCATCACATCAAAGCTGTCTGAGCAGGAATCACAGCAGACGTCCCCCGCCCCTCCTCCCTCTCCTCCCTCCCCTTCCTCCCCTTCCTCCTCCTCACTCCTCTCTGCGCAAGATGTCTTTGAAAACTCTCCTGATCCTCCTCTTATCTCTTCCTTCATGGCAGCCGTGGGTTTCACTGCTCTCCTGCGCTGCGCTCCACTGCTGGCAGAGCAGAGTGTGAAGGAATCTGATTGACCTAGTTAGTGCTCAGTGGTGACTGCAGCGGAGAGGAGAATCCTCTGCAGCAGTGACACACATTCACATGGAGCTCCATCATCTCCATACACAGCAGGAGGTGTTCACTGAACACACACTGCTGTGGTTTACACACACCACAGCATCACTAATTAAAATATAAGACCATTGTTAAGAATGAGTCCTAATTAAAAATAGAACAATTTCAAGGAAATTCCCGGTGTCTTTAAATTAGTTTGGGCTTAGAGGTGACGACCTGAAGGTCACGCCGTAAAGACACCGCTCATCTCTGCTCACTATCAGTGGCATGAAGCGAGTTTCAGAATATGAATTCTGCATGGAACCCTGGAGGAACGTTTTTATAATCCTGTCTTTGAAGTTCACCAGGCTGAGAGACTCGGAGGGAAACGTGTTCGCTGTGTTTCAGAAAGATAAAAAAAAAAAAGACATTTTCATTCTATCGGTTGAAAAATTTGTCATTAATTCCTCCTCTGCTGCTGCACTCAGTTTAGGGTTCAAGGAGATGGAGGGGCTGCAGTCATTGGGCGAGGGTGGGCTCCACTCTGGCCAACAACCATTCAACTATAATTCACACCTATAGCTAATTAAGAGTGAACCTGTAATCTAGTCCTACATGTGTTTGGACTGGAGGAAAAACTCCATACAGAAACACCATCAGGGGTTTTTGGTTCTGACCACTGTTCTTCTTCTTCTTCTTCTTCATCTTCTTCCTCTTCTTCTTCTTCTTCTTCTTCATCTTCTTCCTCTTCTTCTTCTTCTTCTTCTTGTGGGTGAGACGACAGACTGTGCAGACGTAGTGAGTCAGTCACTGTTGTTCTTCCACCTGATGGGGGTTAGAACCGTCTGACCCTGGTTGACACTAATTCTGCTGCTTCAGAACAGAGAGGATGGAGGAAGGAGCGGGTTGTAGGAGGAGACACAGCTCTGAAACTTACTTACTGAACTGGATGTTTTTATTTTTGTTTTAAAGCTTGTTTTAGTGGCAGAAGCCAAACAGTACCATCCTCAAGTTCCTCGTTCCGTTAAAGTGCAGCGAGTTATATTTGGAACCTTTGATGCTGTAGTGTCGACGTCACACTGTTTTTGTTTCAGGTGGAAACTCCTGTGTGTTTCCTCCAAACACAGACGTAGTTCAGCTCCATCAGAGCCTGAAAACACATTAGTGCTTTTAACTGACGCTGTAGAAGGAAGTGAAGTGGACACACAGCAGACACGGGTCGGCCGGCACTGCCAGCTCACTGCATGCAAACAGTGATAATTAGGAGATGACTGAAAGTGTTGAAGCGTTTGCGTTCACGCGGCGTGTTAACGTTTCATAGGAAGCCTTCGTCAAAAGCCGTGACATCAAAGCTGGAGGCTGTCGCTCTGCTGCCGCCGACGCTCAAAGCTCTCGGTGGATTTGAGTGAAGGAAAGTGACAAGAGTTGATTTAAACGTCGAGTGATTTTCAGAGGCTCCACAGTTTTCTTAATGCCTGTAATCATACACATCCACGGGCCATAAATGTCAAATGTTGATTTGTTGCTACAGTAATAATGAGCTGGTTGTTCTGCAGAGCTATGATCAGATCGACTAAGTAGTAATTGAAGGTACTACCATTACTTTGTCATCATTTTAAAATGGTCTTTTGGATGAATGCTTCACATTTTAGCAGTGACTCCAGTCTGATGACATGGAGTGAACACAATTAAACAAATTAGGTTTAAATGTAATGATGTAAACAAACATTTTCAGCCCAAATCCAGTGGAGATTTAAAGCAGAAATCAACAGGAGTACCAGAGGATCATACGAAAACAAATCTGCCACAGAAACTATATAAAAATAGATGTAGAAATATATTTTCCGTCAGATGTCAGGTGACACAGCAGCTCTGCTGTGTTTCTGCCTGTGTCACAGTCAGGTGTACAACTGTCCACTCGTCTCTTCTGTCCGCTGTGATGAGGACGCGGGGACACTTCCCTCCTTGACTCGGTGTTGTCTCTGCACCACTGGCACACTGCCACTCAGGCCCAGAATACACTGCAGAACCTCACAGGTGTGCAGTTGGATGTGGTGACATCTCTCTCTTCCTCTCCTTTCCTCTCTCCCCTCTCCTCCTCTCCTCTCCTCTCTCCCCTCTCCTCCTCTCCTTTCCTCTCTCCCCTCTCCTCCTCTCCTTTCCTCTCTCCCCTCTCCTCCTCTCCTTTCCCTCCCCTCTCTCTTTTTCTCTCCTCTCCTCTCCTTTCCTCTCCTCTCTCTTTTCACTCCTCTCCTGTTCTCTCCTCCTTTTCTCTCTTCTCTCCTCTCCTTTCCTCTCTCCCCTCTCCTCCTTTCCTCCAGGCCCGTCTGAGTCACAGTTCATTTATAGCTGTTGGTGTGGCTCCACAGTGAGGCGACCTCTGTGACCCGTCCATTTATTATAATGGTCAGTGGCTTGTTGTGAACATAAATAGGTGTGACCTGTCGCTGCGAGTGCGGCCTTCATCGTCAGGTGACCTCGGCTTGTTCTGTTCAAGTACTGCCCTGAAGCTCTTTTACACATTCTCGCTCCTGGGAGCGGCCCACCACCATCACCGGGTCGGAGCTCAGAGCTGCAGGATAATGAAGAGGAAGTTGACTGTTGACTGTGAATAAATGTCTTTGTTACCGATAAGCGGGCGCTTTTTAGCTTTAGTGCTAACTGTTAGTCCTGACGCTCCAGTAAAACCACAGTTATAATTAAGACAT